GCGGAGCGAAGCTGCGGTGATGGGAGGGGGTGGGGAGCGGGGTATCCCCGGGGGCTGCCAGGGCACCCCACACCCAAATGTCCCCACAGCCCAAATGCCCCGACATCGCGTCTCTGGACAGATAACGGGGACTGGGAGCGCGCACCGGGCTCACCCCGAGCACAGCCCTGCCCGGCCGGAGCCGCCGCCGCACAACACCCAGGGAAGGTCCCCCCGCCCCCCGAGTCGGTCACTTGGCACTTAACACACCCACCAAGAGCTGCCCTTTTCTTTCAGGARCAATATTTCAGAGTGCAATCTCTAYAAAAGAAGGAACRGTAGCTATGTGTGACGTTTGGCRCCAGCTCCTCAGCACAGCYCAATGCTTGTCCCCGTTTTCWGGCTCCCCTCAARGGCTGCAGCACCTGAAAGTGCAGGTGGGATGTTCAGAAGAGCACAGAACCTCCCAGTTCACCCCTCGGTCCAGCAGCTCAGAAAGCCCCAGCATCACCAGCCTCTGCTTCCCACTTCAATCACATCTCAAACCCTCCTCAGCCCAGCCTTAGGCTCTGAACAAACACCGCTGCAGCTATTTTTAAAGATTTTTGGGAAGCTTTAGCTCGATGCAATGTTAAATACTTTGGCAAGTTCTTCCCTCCAGGGTTCACGTTCTTCTTCCTTCAGGCAATAAAAGTGCTGTGGGAATTGCTGCGGATCACAGCTCACCATGTGCAATGCGTTTTTTATTGTTCTGTTTTCGGGAGAGCTCGGAGGGAGGAGGTGACTGGGGATGGAATCCTGGAGCCAGMGGAGGCAAGGAAAGGTTTGCTCTTCACTTGTGCAGTTCCTCGGGTACGGTGCAGGCACTGAGGGCTGTCCATCTCCACCGGGAGATGCTGCCTGAGGYGAGGCAGAGCAGCCACTGCTCCTCTCTGGCCTTGGCTGAGGAGTCACTCGCTGCTGCACAGACCCCACCATCCTCCCAGAACAGAGCTGAGCTGCTGGGACAGAGCCCCGTGCCCCTCTGCAGCTCCTACAGGGCCAGCYGAGCACCCACAGGAGCGGTGTGTGACTGTGAACAGCTCTCCATGGCAGCAGCCAGTCCTGGGTGTGGGGAGCAGCTCTCCCAGGACTGTCGTGTTTGTGCCATGCCAGTGCCACCACTGCCAGGGCCACCTCCTCTGTCACMCTGCACTGACCGGGGGTGCAGGAGCAGCTCAGTGAGCATCACATTCCTGGGGATTGATATTTGGGGCTGGGGGCTCAGGAACAGATCCAGCTCCTGGTTCCCTTCCCTGGGCGATGCTGTGATGCCCTGGGCGATGCTGCCCCCCAACATTCAGACACACTCGTGGCCCCTCGCTCCTTATTCAGGCAAAGCTGCAGCTTGTCCCACAACTAAAACCCAAACACACGTGATTTTAAAGCAAAGAATCCTGTGAGAATCAAAGGGTTTTCTGAGTCATCCCCTGCTTCTTCCAGCTTTAAACATKCAGAGAGGCCATAGAGCTGGAAACATTTTTATTTTAAAAATACATGCTTTGGGATATCAAAAGCACAAACACTAAATAAAGCTAAATTTAATTGCATTTCAGTTTACTGCTGGATCTGAAATAGCTGTTTTTCCAATAGCTYTGTGGAATCCCAGCTTTACAGCCCCCATGACAGAAGAGGTCTGGCAAAACGTCAAGCCCAGGCCACAGTTCTGCAGATGGAGCTGCAGCTGCCCATGAACTCGTGCAGGGCTGCAGCACAGGAGGCTCTGCAGGTTGGACAGCCAGGGTGTTTGATTTTGATTCTTGCATGGGAGTTTCTCTTTATCCTACAATTGTTTCCTAGTGCTCACCTCTTGCACTGCAGGAAACCTCACTTTAGTAAATCTACCAAAACCACAGMGATGAGCAGCTCTACGGACACACCTTCCTGAAAAAGGCGTAACCTGGCTTCAATACAGAGCTGATGAATGCTGTGGGCTTTAAATCAGGCTTGGGAATGTACTAAGGGCACAATAAATTACAGCTTTTCCATGTCTTTCTTAAACGTACACAAGTAAATTCTCAAGTCTGATATCAAATTCCTCCATGGCTCACCAGCTGGTGTGTTAATACAGAGTCAATGCTGTAAAAAGTTCTTTACCAAAGGCAACAAGGCTTTGGAGACAAAACATGGAAATAYCAGCAGTGCACAGAATCATTTGGTCCCAAACCCATATTCAAAATTCACTGTGTTACTGAGTTCAGTGATCAGGGTAACATCACCCAGTCCAGAGAGCAGCATGGAGATGGGATAGCTCCCAGCTCTGGATATCCCAGTCTGGGGCAATTCCCTCTGCTTTCAAAGGCTCTCCTGCCTGGCAAAAGCTATCTGACACCAACTCCCTGATACCTGCAAAGCCAAACAAAACCAGGTAACAACCCCCCCCAAACTCGTGTTTAACCCCAGCTCCTCATTTCAGAGGGACACACGGGGACAGAGCCAGCAGGAGCCCGGTGTCCCTCAGGGTGACTCTGCTCCTGCTGCTCCCCCCTTCCCACCATCACTGCCTTTCACACGGCCCCACTGCCGGGCTGGAGGAACAGGACATTTCTACTTTTTGATTATTTTGTTTCCAGTTTTGCCCTTCTGCCACGGCCTGAGGGACTGTTCCGTGACTAAATTCATTTCCTCCCGAATGGATTCCCTGCCCAAAGCAGCCGTTCCCAAAGCTTTCCAGTGGCAGCCCCTCCCCAGCCCAGCAGCACCTTGTCACCAGTGTCAGTCCCCCGGGAGCTTCAGCCTAACTCCCAATTCCCCAGGGAGCCGCAGTCACCAGGAATCTGCTGTGGATCCACTCTGGGAATTGCTGCAGAGAGGCTGGAACCACA